TGCATCGGGCTCCCTGCTCAGTGCAGAGCCAGCTTCTCCCTCTCCCTCTGCCATTCCCTCTGCTTGTGCTCTTCTGTCTATCTCTTCTGTCAAATAAATAAAATCTTAAAAAAAAAAAAAAAGACAAGATTTTAAAGGAGCTAGAAAGAAGTACGTTACCTACAAAGAAACAGTAGAATTTGCAGTAGCAACAGTGAAAGCCAGAAGATGGTGGAATAATCTCAAAATGCTGAGAGAGTATGTTAATCTAGAATTGTCTCTCCAACTAAACTAACCTTTAAGAATGTGGGTAACACATATTTGGAGACTTAACAACACACTTCTAAATAACCCATGACTTGAAGAAGAAATCATAAAAGATAGTAAGAAATATTTGAAAATGAAAAAACACAACATATCAAAATCTGTGGGATGCAATTCAAGCAGTACTTAGAGTGACATTGTTAGCACTGAACACCTGTATTTAGAATAGAAGTGAGTTCACAGATCACTGACCTCATTTTCAACCTTAGGAAATTAGAAAAAAGAAGGGCAGATGAAGTTCAAAGGAAATAGGAAAAGGAAATAATAAAGATCAAAGTGGAAATCAGTGGAACAAAAACAATAGAGAAAAGTCAATGAAGTCAAAAGCTGGTTCTCTGAGAAGGTAAAATTGTTAAATCTCTAGCCAGACTAATCAGAGAAAACAAAATTGGAAAAGAAGGTACTAAAATTACCAATAGAAAGAATGAGAGAGATGATGTTATACAGTTTTTAACATAATAATGGATCAGAAATTTATGAATCATTTTTATGCCAGTAAGTACATCAATTTAGTTGAAGTGAACAAATTTCTTGAAAGGTACAAACCACTAGAGCTGACTGAAGAATAGATAATCTGAGCATCTATTACACTGAAATAGTTAAAAACGTTCCCACAAAGAAAACTCCAATCCCTGGTGTTTTCACTGTTGAATTCTATCAAACATCTAAAGAAAAAATAATACCAGTTCTGCAAAGAATTCTGTACCAATTCTTCAGAAAATTGGAGAGATTACTTGCCAACTCATTCTATAAGACCAGCATTACTCTGGTAATAAAACCAGACAAATAGATTTCAAGAAAAAAAAACTATAAACCAATATTCTTAATAAATGCAAAGAAGATTTCTCAACAAATTTTCACAGGTCAAGTCCAAAATTATATTAAAAGATTAATACATCACAACCAGTAGCATTTATCACGGGAATATTGTGATAACATATGTTATAAAACATTCAAAAATCAATGTGTGGCTCTATGGAAGATGAAGGAGTAAGCAGCTCCAGGATTACTCCTTCCACTGAAACAACTATTGAGCTAGCAAGATGTGTTAGAATGAGCTATTTTGGAATTGTGGAGCCTAGTCAAACATGTGTGCTACCAACACCAGGGGAAAGCTTGATGAAAAAAGAATCTGGTAAATTTCAGTAACCTTGGCATTTTGCATGGAAGCTCTTAGTCCCTAGCCCTGTGGAAGACAGTAGGGGAGATGGTGGTGCAGTTTTCTGGTGGCCAGGTTGAGAAATGAAGACCTTGTCCTCCAAAGATTGGTGCTATGCCTTTTAATCTGCCTGGCAATTTACTGAGGGTCTAGTGCAGGGCCCGGCCATTATTTTAACTGCTTAGACCATAGTGGTTTCCTGAATGGTGTCTGTCAAAGAATTTAAAGAAACAGCACATTTGTCTGTGGTCCTACCCACCCCACACTTTTCTCATTGGATCCATGCATTCACTGAAATCTCTGCAAGGTCACTGGCTGTGTGGGGAGATATAATGGGTCAGAGACTGTAGTGACCACACATACAGGAAGAAATGTAGTCTTTGTCTAAAGTCAATAAACAGATGACTACAACAATCTGAAATCCAGAGTTACATGTTACAATATTCAAAATATCTAGTTGCCAACAAAAAATTACAAAGCATATAAAGAAACAGGAAAATATGGCTCATTCACAAAAAAGAAATTGACAGAAAGCATCCCTGAGGAAGCCCAAATGTTGGACATACCAGACAAGGAATTTAAATTAACTGCCTTAAATATGCTCCAATTGCTGAAGGAATCGTGGACAAAGAACCGAAGGAAATCAGAAGAACGATGTATGATCAAACTGGGAATATCAATAAAGAGGTAGAAATTATAAAAACAAACCAAATAGAAATTCTAGAACTGAAAGTTGTAATAGCTAAATTGAAAAATTAACTAGAGGGCTCCAACAGACAGAAATAAAAATCTGCAAACTTGAATATAAAGTAGTTGAAATTGCTCTGTCAGTCAGGGGATCACTGATTTGACACTAATTGGCTGCCATAAAAATCTGTCTTTAATTTTTTTTTTTTTAAAGATTTTATTTATTTATTTGACAGAGAAAGACACAGCGAGAGAGGGAACACAAACGGGGAGTGGGAGAGGGAGAAGCAGACTCCCTGCCGAGCAGGGAGCCCGATGCGGGACTCGATCCCGGGACTCCAGGATCATGACCTGAGCCGAAGGC